CGAATTTGATTGTACCGTTGTGGTAAGAAATATACGTACTTTTGGTTATCAACTACAAAAGGTATGAAATATTGTTTTCGATACCACCATATATGTCTTAATAACAGAATATTTTATTTTTATGGCTAAAAACTTGTACAAGTTTGTGTTACCAATCAGAGCAACATAAAAACTATAGGAATGTATATGTATCATGCATAAGTATATACCTGATCTTAGGAGGCTGAGATGGCCACTTGGAAGGGTTTCTTATGGAAGAAGGCAAGTAATTGAGGAAGAAATAATCACTCCAATCTAATTTAGCATCTTTCACAACCCCAAGTCGGCTTCCATATCCTTCATACGTGTCCGGTGAATTTGCGTATTTTCGTTTCTCCTCCAATGGTAGCTCGAAGAATTCTCGCCACGCTCCTCTCATTCTCTCCATTAGTCCGTGGCTCACACCGTGGTTCACCACTTGAAAGAAACCCCACTCCTCACACGCTTTCCTGACGCGCCTCAGCCCCTCCTGTTTCCCGCACACGTCGCTCATGTCTACCACGGGGATTTCCACGTCAGCTTCGGTTTGGTCGGAGTTAATGAGGGGTCTCTGATGAGGCGGTTTCACATACCGGTTTGGAACGGTGGGCATGCCGGTTTGGGACAAGGCTTGAACGGAAACAATCGGTTCAGGCCAGCATGCAACCATTTTTCTTTTGTTTTTTAATTGAGAGAGAGAGATAAAGAAGCCAAAGAGTGAAAGTTTTAGATGGTGAAAGAAGCGAGGACGAGTGTGGGGATATAAATATGTGAAAAAAAGTTTCAACCTAACCGAAACGTGAAACAATTAATGATACAATGTTCTTTTGTTCCACTTTCATATATTGAATATTGTGGTCGACCTTGTAAACTTTGCATAAGCTACTTGGATGATAAAAACAATAAGACACGTTTTTTTCTTTGTGGAAAGATCATAGATGCCGACAATTAATAAGTATTACTTTTTGTGTCTTTAATGACTTTTGAAGTGAGGGAGATGGCGAACGAATTTCGGCGCCGTGCGATGGTTTGCAACTCATTTATTAATTAAGAGTTTATGGGATATGCCAAATTAAAGCTAACACTTAGTTAGTTGTTGACTTGTCGTGTTCTTTTTTTTCTTTGGCATTTAGAAAAATTATATTAAAACAAGTAGGATATTTCACATAGGATCAAAGTCGGTAGAAGATAAACCAGTTCGTAGCCATAGCGACACGAAAACGAATTCCTTTAGAAATAAAAATCCAAAAAGGAAAGTAATTCTAAACGACTACCAAATCAAAAGAAACAAAATCAAAAGGTACAAGCCAAAACTGAAACCTGGAGATAAATACAAGTACAACCAACCAAACACGAACCACATGCAAGGACACAAGATTTAAAGGAACACTACCACCACAATCCACAACGGATGAGGTTAAATGCAAGCTCCCATCGGAAGAAGACAATGAACAACAAGAAGCAAGCGATCACCAACAAGAAGAGCAAACAAACCCATCGAGGAGACTCCAACTGGTATTCAACCCTATGCTCACTAGTTAAACGAGGCAAGAAATTGATGTACATCACCGATTGGAGATTATTATGAAAAAACGAGAGGAAAAGACACACGAATCTGCTGGACGAGGGAGATAAGTCTTGAAATCAACACCTTCAATAAATAACAATCAACCAACAGACATTTCAACACAAAACAACATCACCAAAGGAACAGACGAGAGAGCAGCACAACTAAACAGAGCTCCAGAACGATTGCGAGGACCATATCAACAAGGTTCGGCAAGCACAAGAAGCCCACCAATAGTCAAAAGAGGCAGCAACGACCAAACCTCAATCATCAGAGTAACTCCAAGACATCAACCATCTTCTGTTCAACACACCACTACCTGCATCAAGCTACAAGGTCCTAAACTTCTAACGAAGATTCGACCTACAGAGAACCTAAAGCAAGAACATAACAAGGGAAAAGCCTCGGGGAGAAAAGAATTGTCGTGTTCTACTCTAGTGTTTTTCCAACTAGTTAAATCTTATGAAAATGATCATCTTTTTCCAACTAGTTAAATCAAGTGGTTATGGTCTAATAGTAAAAAAAAAAATTAGAAGAATGAGTAATCTCTTCCAATATGAGTGACTTTCAATGAAAACACTTTTACTTTTATTTGGTCAGTCAGAATAATACCATGTTTTATATCCAACAGAGAATCCGGTAAGTAGGCTACGGCTACAATCATCTTCAGATATTTGTTGGATGGTAAAAATTCGGATTACCTTCTAGTTATAATGAAACAACCCGACCCG